CCTAGTTATATAATTATACTGGTCATTTTCTGAATGCAATAATTAAATATTATTTGTAAAAAGGTATGGGATATACCAAGCCTCAATTTAAAAATAATTGTGAAAAGTTGTTTTTCTTTTGTCGAATTGATGTCGCGAAATAGATGTTAGTGTCTTAAGACGTTCCTTTAAGAAGCTGTTAACATCTTCCCAATTACTTTTTTTTTGTCGTGAATTAGCAACAGATCTCGGCGATTGTTTATGTAAGACAAAGAGCGATTTAACATCGATGCTGCATTGTATAACCATCTGTACAACGTTCGTAAGATTTAATGACTCAATTAGTGACGTCGTAATAAATCAAATCGTCTCAAGTATAAACAATCGCCGAGTATTATAGCTGACAATAAGGCCTGTATATTTGATTTTGCTGTCTGTATACACATATACATATTAGCATCTTTATTTTTGTCGTGTATAAGCAGGCAGGGTTAGGTTTGGCACATACCACTGCGGCTTCTTGGGTCTATTGTATTCTCCTGCTTTCCTCGTATTCAGGTACTATCCTTGGAATAGTCCTGTGCCTTTGGTAAGTTTTACTAGGTTCTTGGGGCGTTTTTTCTGGTTTTAGACCGAAAAGAATAAATAGCCGCCTAGCGGGAGCTTCGCATTCCAAGATAACATGATACGAGGTCTCTTCCTCTTCCATGCAGTCTACACGTGGTAGAATCATTGAGTAGTCCCATCACATGAAGGTGTTTTAGCAAGCAGTGCCCCGTTAGTAATCCCACGACGGTTAATATCTGAGGCCTTGCAAGCTGTAGTACCTCAGCGGCCATGCGTGGGTTTAGTCCCATTAACATGAAGCTAGCTGCTTCTGTGTCCTCTTATCTGTTGTCAGCGAATTTGGTGTTTAGTGAATATCCATCTGTTCACTACCTGTCGGGCAGAGGTTTTGCTTAGCCCAAATACAGGTTCGGGTCCTGTAAATGGTAGATCTGGTAAATGGTAGATCTGATACCCACGCTAGTTTTAGATTGTTGCGGGTTGCAAGATTATTAAGTATTCCAAGGCAGTTCCAGACCAGCAAAATAGATATTAAAAAATCGTTTAATTATAGTAAGTTTGGATTAATATTTTCAAAAAACTGGTCATAGAATTAAAACAAAATTTTGCTTAGTTAAATACTGAACTTTTCTTAATTTAAAAATGTATTAATTTACAAAGTTGACGGAGAAACTTTTAAAATACAGGGTGTTGCACAAAAAACTACTTTGCCAATTTTTAAAGTTTCTGCAATCGGTTTAACACCATGTATGACATAGGGTGACAGATCGTACATGTACTTAATGTAATAAAGAAAATTCAGGATACATCATTTATACAGGGTGACTCGTTAAAGCTGAAAAACAATATATACCCTCTGTAATCGTATTTATGAGTCACCCTGTATAAAATGGGATTTATCAACCAGAAGCAATTACTTGCACTATATTTGCATTGTGAAATTATATTTTTTCGTTCATTTAACGCTGTCATAAAAAAAAAAGATTTAAGAAAAAAACTGTATTACTAATTTCCGAACTACCCTGTAATTAACCAGTTCCACAGTAACTTACTTTAAAAAATTAATGGTAAATAATCTATAAATCATGTTTTCTACAAAAAGCGCGAATAAAATAGGTCATTTATGAGAAATCTGGTTACAAAAAAGTGGCATTTTTGAAGTTTAACACCCTGTAATTCGAAAACTAGTCATAGGATCGGTTTGGGCCAATAGACACTTTTTGTCAGAGCATCGAGTTCTACAACATATCAACGTTTCAAAAAATTTGACGGAAAGCCATTTTTCCATAAGAAAGGTGCGTCCTTTGTATGAATGCATTTGAAACTATTCTCGATTTAAGTAAATTATTTTTTGATTTGTAGCACTTCCGACAGAGGTTTTAAAAATAAAAATTATAAAGTTTTAAATAATAGTTTATTTTTCCCTGTCATAATGAACTATTAATATTGTGCCACAAATCTCACTAGTCATTTATGATCCATAAGTACAAATCAATTGGGATAATTTTTAAAAAATCATTAGCTAAAGCGTATTTTAGAGATTTTATGAATAAAAAAATAAAAATAAAAAAACGTGTATTTATGCAATTGATAAGTTAACAATCTAGTGCATGTATTGTATTAAAATAGAATTGTTTGAAAATTAAAACAATTAAAATTGTTTACACAGATTTATAGAGCAAGCCTAATTTATAATACATAGATAAGTAGCTTTATTAAAATAGTTATATCCTAATATACAACAAAAATATAGAATAATTATATAAACGGTACTTATAAAAAATATTAAATAATAAGTAATTATTTTTCTTCTTTTTGCATCAAACAAACGTTTTCTCAACGTTGCTATCTTCAGTCGCAGTCTCTGCTTTCTTGGAGTGTTTGATGATAACACATTACTTCTTTGAATTTGTGCTGTTACACAAGGTAGAAAAACAGATGGCTGACTATGCACTTGTTCAATAAATTCTACTTCCGCCGAAGTTGAGGGTAGACACAAGTTGTCTTTGCCTTCTTCGCCATGAACAACAAATTCCTCTAAAAAAAGAAAAAGAAACTAAATTTTTATCAGATCAACTAGTGTCAAAAAGGTGCATCATTTGTCAAAATTAAATGTTTGAATCACATTTTTTAGCCAGATGAAATTTAAAATAATTTTATAAAATGTGAATATATTTTTGTGTCTAGGAGGCAAACTGCACTGTCATTCTAGTCAACTGTTTAGTACATCAGAATGAATGTTGTTAAATTATTAAATTTCAACTAGATATGCATTTAGACACCCACTTATTGTCACAATATTTATATTTTTTACTAACCTAATTACTAAAACTACTTTATTTTATTTTGCATAAGTTGTTGTATGTCGACATAGTGCAGTTTACCTCCGAGGTAGTTCTACAAAATGGAATGTATGGGTTGATATTCTAAGATTATTAGTACTTATCATTTTATTTTTTAAACTACTAAATGTAAAAAAATTACAAAACCAATAGCACACTTTTTGTAACATTTAACTACAAATTGTATTTATTTACCTTGCAAAACTGCGACTCTTTTCGTAGGTTCTGAATGGGGAAATACTGTTGGGAATGCATTTGCAAATAATCGTTTTCTTGTTCCTGACTGATAAACAAATTTATCCTAAAAGTGTAGTTCACAAGTTTTGTAATTTTTACTTAAGTGTTCAACACCCTTTCCCAATAATTTCTTTCTATTTGCTGTCTTAAGCCACAATTCAAGTCTGAAAAATACATACAATCATTGTACTACCATGTTATGGCAAGGTCAATTCCTATTTCACCCTCAAGGTTTCATACCTACCTCACTGGATCTTTCACAAGAGTGAACAAAATCCTTCTTTGCCACCTGTTTTTGAGGTACATCCACGATAAATAGAAGTATATCATCCTCCTCTCTGACGCGGTATTGTTTATAAACCTAATCTTAATTCGTACAAAAAAGTCTTAAATTAACAACTCCACAATTAAAAACATCAACAAAAACTAAAAATAAACAACTAAAAAAACGTAAAAGTTATTAGACTATTTGCTATAAACAACCAAAAATCCAAAACGACAAATAAAGACAAGACAGGAAAAAATATTGATTTTCTAACAGCGACAGCTTCGTTCATCTGCTATAAAAGTGTGCACTGTTGCACTTCGAACAAGTAATAAATCTACGGTTCAATTTTGATAATGCTCCACGCTCAATCATGAAGAAGGTGTGGCTTCGGTTGCTAGGTTCCTGTTTTAGCCCTATGTTTCTTTTCTGTATTGTTCTTTATCCTGGGGCCCTATTCTCGAATGTCTATTAAAAATGTCGCATTTGTCATAATGTCTACTACTAATTAAGTGTAAGGGTTAAAGAAAAGGTCCTTTATTTCTCACAAGTCAATTTAATTGGCGACCGGTTTCGAAGTTGTCACTTCATCATCAGGCACACCTAAATGGAATGTCAAGGAGTCAGTTGTAATAATAAAAAAACAATTATAAAAGCATGAACGGACTTTAACATATACAAAATAACAGAAAAAACACAAAAGAAAGTTAAACAATAACCTTGACTCACCTTGACTAATTCCATAAAGGAAGCGCTACAAAAAGTTTAACAGAACGAGTTAAAAAAGTCATGTGTAATAAGTATTTTTTAAAAAATTTTAATGTAGGTTAGGTTAAACCACCAGATGTCTGTTTGAATAAAATAATTAATTAAAACACATTTAAGACAATTATTAACTAAACAACACAAAATAGTTTTACAAGCACAAACAGTTTAAAAATTTTTAAGGATATAATGTTAATTACTGAAAGTAAAAAGTAAAAAGTAAAAATTATCAGACTGTCAAGACATCTATCTAGATTTTTTTAACGAATCAATGCAGTAAACTGTAAATTATCCGCTAATTTAAAATTTACATTAAAATTTTTTAAAAAATAATTATTACACATGACTTTTTTAACTCGTTCTGTTAAACTTTTTGTAGCGCTTCCTTTATGGAATTAGTCAAGGTGAGTCAAGGTTATTGTTTAACTTTCTTTTGTGTTTTTTCTGTTATTTTGTATATGTTAAAGTCCGTTCATGCTTTTATAATTGTTTTTTTATTATTATAACTGACTCCTTGACATTCCATTTAGGTGTGCCTGATGATGAAGTGACAACTTCGAAACCGGTCGCCAATTAAATTGACTTGTGAGAAATAAAGGACCTTTTCTTTAACCCTTACACTTAATCCCTACTACTCACATATGGCTACCCTCACTCCAAATCTACTACTAATGTCTATCAAAATATCGATCGACTGACATTATCCGTATTCTCAAAGACAAATCGACATTTTCAAATCGGTGACATATTTGGCGAATGGTAACATCTGACAACATTGGATAGAAACATACAAGACGAGTATATAAGAAGAAAATGTAAAAAAGAAGACGATTTTTGATTTTTAGTTTAACCAGTTGTCTGTTGTATGAAATTGTAAATTGCTTCTACAAAGAAATAGGTCTGAGGCTAGGAGCTGATGCAATAGTAATAAATTCGCCAATGGAAAAGAAAAGTTATTGTTCCAGAAAACAAAAAGAATTATTAGTTGAACTACTGAAGTTAAAAGAAAATGAAGACTTAATATCCGGAAAGTTTAACCAGAAATTTTCATACAAAGATTCTGAAAATAAGTGGCAAAAAATTGCAGCCACGGTAAACGCTGTCCCTGGAAGCCAAAAAGATTGGAAACATTGGAAGAAGGTAAGTCAGTTTTTTTGGTTTAGATAATGTATGCAAAATGTCACCAATATGCTTCTTTTTAGATTTGGCAAGATATAAGATCCAAAACTAAAAAAAGAAAAGCTCATAATCAACAGATATGCGGTACCGGAGGGGGGCAAAAAGTTGTAGACATTACTGACACAGATGAGCAAATCCTAGAATTAATACATCCACAATTAATAAGTGAAAATAAGGATATCGAGGAAAATAAAATAGTTTTTGATTACGTGGATCCTAATGAGATGAAAAAAGAAAAAATTAACATAGTGAAAATGCAATTGAACTTGCAGTAGTTGAATTTGCAGAAAATAAACTGCAAGCACCAACACTGCAGAAAGAGAAAGCCACAGCCATTCCACAGAGAACAGGATACTCGTATTAAAAAAAAGGACAGTGGCCAGTAATAGATTACAGGCCAGCGTTCAGGCTAGCCAAAATTAGGCAAATATTTCCGAAGAACGTACTTTATTAAAAAAACACTATTATGAGAAAAAACTTCAGTTTATTGAAAGGCAGACTGTTACTTTTGAAAAATAGCTGTGGCCTTGGAAAATCTGAGGCTATAGTTATATGTTAAAGAAAAAAAATAACTTGTTTTTAATAGTTATAGTAGTCAAATTTTAATTAATTTTTTCATTAGAACTTATATTTTGTTTACAAAATATGATTGTTATAAAACTTTGTAGTATATAGTACGATTTTAGTTTGTTTTTTCATTAGGACCTACATTTTCTTTTTTTATAAAAATATTGTTATAAAACTTTAGTACATAGTACGATTTTAATTTTTGTTTGTTTATCTGTTAGGATTACATTTTGTATCATTATAAAAGATATTGTAATAAAACTGGGTACCTTGTATGATTTTTGTTTGTTTTCCGTTGACGAGTTATTAGGAAAAGCTAAATAACATTTCATGTAAATCCCTTCATTTCTATTCTATAAGCCAATGAAAGTGATAGAAACGTTTTTTATTAAATATTTTTACTTTTGGTAGACATTTATTGGAAAATAGCTTAATGTTATTTGTTTACTAATACCAATAAATATACTTTATTTTGAGAAATAATTTAAAACAAAACTTTTTGTACAAACTATTTCATAAAAAATCAAACATATTTATTACGCAAAGGTACTCTTTGTTGGTCTGTGTAGAACATTGCATTGTCGAGATATTTCAAATGTCTTATTCATACGTGAAAGCAATGTATTAACTTTAAAAATCTAAATGTAAACTGATATATTTAGACAATGTGATCTTCTAAAGCTATCAACAAAGGGTATTTTTTGAGTGGCAAACTTTTTGAATAATATTAACGAGTTTTAATTTTTATGAAAATACAGGTTGTGCAGAAAGTTATCTCTAGATCTATAGAAAAATGTTTTACTCATCAAGATTCATATGTTCTCCAATATACGATACTTTATTCTACGACAGCTTGGCTATTTATATAAAAAATCAAAGGCAAGAAATAAGGATCTAAATATGTATTACAAAAAAAATGGAGGTATGTACAACTAAAAAAACATACATATACTAAACATTTATTAAAAATTCCTCTCCGAATTCTTTCTCCTTGAACCAATTGAGGGTTTCTATGACGATATTGAATATTGTTATCAGGAAGAGCAATGAGAGGGATTTGGCCTAAATCAATATCTTCAGTTTCTTCATTTTCCTCCAGAAAGAGTTCAACATTATTATTAACGCATATGTTGTGCAAAACTGCACATGCATTTATTATTTTGGAACTTTTCTGAGTAGCATAATGAAGTACTCTGTGCTTCAAAAGACACCTAAAACGCATTCTATTTCCCTAGGAGTGTTAGGATCTTGAAGTGGTGTTATTAGCCATGGTCGAAGAGGGTAACCGGAATCTCCTTAAAAGTAAATATAGTGTGATCATAATGACCAGAAGCATTTTATTATCTCATGAGCAAATAAGTTTTGGAGGTGGATCCCACATACGTCATTTTTTAATTTAAGTTTATTTTTTAAAAATTTACCTAGATTTCACACTTAATGAATGTAGTGAATAGTAATTAGATAATGACCAATAATATTTTCATATTTATTTTTTCTAATCTAAAATATATAACTATAGTACAATTCTGGCTATAAACAGGTAATTTTATTTGGATAATGAAATTTTCCAGAAATTAGGCAAAACAAAATTACTTTGTGAACAAAAATACAGGAAAATGTTTTGTCACTGACCTATTAAAAAATATCCTTCATTTCCAAGGTTATTTAAATTATTAAGGAAATGATAAATATTTGAATTTTGGAATATGTAGCTATCATGTGTAGACCCAGGGAACCTTGAATTTAGATGAAGTATTTTCATGTTTTCATCACAAACCTAAAAGCAACGAACGTTTATATAATATAGAATAACTATTTCATTGTTGGATTATTTTGTTTATACACACAGGGTGTTAGAAAAATATTTTTTTTTTAAATTAAACTTACTATCTGCACATTGATGGAATGATATCCTTTTCTGTTCACAAATATGTGTTCAGGCTCAAGGGGATTATTTATTTTAGGTGCAGTAATAGCAACATGGGTACAATCTATACACACAATTATGCCAGGCAGATTAAATTTTTCATGGAACCTGCAATTAGTAGGTTATTAATAAAAATGTAAACATGTAAAATTAAATTAAATTTCCTGTGATACATTGTAATATGTAATTAATTGTGATATACATAGATAGCTTAAATTTAGCTTCATCGGCTATAATAATAAAGGTTACACAAAAAAAGATCTATTTTTTTTCTTCATATGTCAGAAGCATTGATATGTATTTATGTGTAAAGATTACCTTCTTCTAAGAGAATTTAACTGCCCCATGTTTTCAGGAAATTTTACGTATCTCTGAAATATTTCAGGTCGGTTTAGAACGTCTGTAATTTTATTCAAACATCTGCTCGCAGAAGCTTGAGAAACTCCTAAATATTGACTTTCTCCAACACAAGCTTGGTAATTTCCGCAAGCATAAAAACGCAGGGCAATTAAAACCTAAAAATTATTATTAAATAAAACTTTTATCTATATATATATATATATATATATATATATATATATATATATATAAATATTTACCTTACCATTTCTTGAACACTCAATGCGCTCACGCGGGTTCTCGTATTAATATAATTAGAAACAGTATCAATTAATTCAATTGTAAGCTCTTTGGTGAGTCTAAATTTTTTTTTTTAAAACTTTATATCACTCAAGAACCCTAAACAATTTCTATTAAAATGTCCTTCTCTAGGAACTCTGTTCATTTCTTCTTGGTGCTCCAAGTTTTCAATTCCTGCCAGTATCTCTAGCCCTTCGTTCATCTTTCAACTTATATAGTCAGAAATAAACTGTCACTGACACAACACTCACAACATAATATAAAAGTATGCGACATTACAATGTCGACTGGTTGAATACCACTCGACTTTATGTCTAAAAACAAATGTCGAATTCGCCATTCGAGAATACGTTTTTGCGTTCTTAATCGACATTTTATCAATGTCGCGTGCGACATTTAGAAATAGACATTCGTGACTACGGGGTAAAAAATTGTCACCAATATAAATAAATGTCAGATAAAGTCAATAAATGTCAGATAAAGTCGGATATTAAATTCACGAATAATAAATTGAAAAAAATATTTTCCAACGAAGAATTGATGAATTATACCCCACCGTAAGTACGACAAGCTGCTGACGCAGCAGCCCAGGGCTTCGTGCCAGAGAAAAGTAAGTATCGGTACCTAAAATAAGGCGTTGAATTATATAGGAGGTGGCGCGAAAAAAAAAGGTCAAAAATATCGGTTCCGAAAGTGTACTCCTGGCATATTTTAGAGAACATACCAGACAAAAGAAGCCGTCTTCTTTGTGGGCAATGTACAGTATGATACGAACGACGCTAGAAATTAAACAAAAAACTGGTATTTCAAAACATGGGAAACTGCTAGTCTTCCTAAAACGACAAAATGAGGGCTTTAGGCCCAAGAAATCGAACGTATTTTCGAGGAAGAATATAGAGGATTTTTTAAATAAAGCTCCAAATAATCATCTACCGATAAAGGTAAGATATTTGTGATTCTTTACATAAGTTTAAAAAAAAAACATGTTTGAGCTAATACAAGTACACTATTATTATGGTATTATTGTTTCTTATTGTTTTAGGGGCTCAACTTTCGTTTGGCCGAAATCTGTTGTGCAACAACTGTTGTCATGATAACGATTGTGATGGCTATTAAGTAAACAAAAACCTTAATCTCATGGTGAGGGAATGCGTAGTTGCCAAGTTGTAGATGTTTGTGATTTTTGTTTAATTTTATTTAGCTGAAATCAGTTATGCAAAAAATGTTACCATGGGCACGCTTGTCATGTTACCGACTAAACAAAAACCCAAATCTCGTGGTGAGAAAATACATAGTTACCAAGTTAAAGATCATTTAATGTTAACTTTATTTAAGCCGAAATCACTTATGGAGAAACTGTTGCCATGGGAACGCTTGTCACGCTAACGACTAAACAAAAACCCAAATCCAGCAGTGATGAAAGCGTAGTTGCCAAGTTATAGATCATTTAATTTTCACTTTAGTTTAGCCGAAATCAGTTATGAAGAAAATGTGGGCATGGAAACGCTTGTCGTGTCAACGACTAAAAAAACCAAAATCTCGTAGGAAATGCGTAGTTTCCAAGTTTTAGATCATTAAATGTTCATTTTAGTTTAGTCAAAGTCAATTATGAGGATACTGTTGCCATGGGACGCTTGTCACTCTAACGACTAAACAAAAACCCAAATCCAGCAGTGAGGAAATGCATAGTTGCCATGTTATAGATAATTTAATTTTCACTCTGCAGGGTGTATCATAATATATGCACAGGACTTCAGGACGTGATAGATTGTCCAAAAATATGAAAAAACGTTTCCATTAACTTACCCTCTAAAATGCACCATTTTCGAGATACAGGGTATTGAAATTGAAAAAAAAAAATTCTACGCCACTGGAAAAAGTACGGTTTTGAGACGCCTATTTGAACCACCAATGTTTTCTACACAAAAAAGGTACTCTTGGTCATACGCTCTAAAGTCGACCGTTTTTGAGAAAAATCAAATTTTGTTTCATCAAGTATGTATGACCATGTATTTCAACATTAAAATTTGATTTTTCTCGAAAACGGTCGAAATTAAAACTCAAATCTTGTGGTAAGAAAATGCGCAGTTGCCAAGTAGTGGTTTGTAGGTGGGTGGAACGAGCGTAGCGTGATCTTATGATATAGTTGGAAAAAGGGCGCGCCCGGCCACGTTTCGAAATTAACGCGCGCGAATTTCGAAACGTCGGCCGGGCGCGCTCGCTTCGCTCGCTCTCCTCTGTACTTGTTAGGAGGTGGGTGGGGGGAGCGCAGTGTGATATTATGGAGAAACTGTTGCCATGGAAACGC